ACAAGACCAAACATGAGCATTGGGTAGAACAATACAAAAACAAAATCAAAGGTGTTTTCGTTGAAACCGATTCGATTTTTGAACAACTGCGGGAAGATTATCAACAATGCGCAGATGATTTGTTAACAATGACTGCGATTTCTCCGAACACCGGGAGCGACAGTAATTTAAATAAACAAGAAGTATCATTCATGTACTCGCAAATACTTCGCGATGTTCTTATCGGCATGGAACATGGCGATGATGCAAAACAAGATATGGTCGAATATTGTCGAGAGCAGTGCAAAGATGACAGCTATGAAAGACAAGTGGTTGATGAATTCGATCGAGAGTATTCTTATGATCGAGCAGTGTGGTGGTATACACGCGAATGTTTTCTCTACAGAATGATAAACAAAGCTCTGAGAACACAAGACATTGATGTTCTTTATAAAATTAGATTTTTCATCAAGCATCTTCATTATCAATTGAAAAAAATGCATTCTCAATCGACTAATGAAACCATGATCCTGTACCGTGGGCAAGCAATGTCCTCGGAAGAATTGGATCAGAAAGTGAAAACGAATGTTGGTGGTCTTTTGTCTATTAGCGAATTTCTCTCAACGAGCAACAACAAAGCCGCCGCATCGACCTTTGCTGCTCGAAATTTAAATCGGGCACCGCTTGTTGCCGTTTTACTAGAAATAGAAATCGATCCGACAATACAAGCGCAGCCGTTTGCGAATATTCAAGCGGAAAGTTATTTCGACATAGAAAGTGAGGTTTTATTTTCAATGGGAGCAGTGTTTCGAATCAAATCAGTGATACAGTCGAACGATGGTGTGTGGAATATTATTCTGAAATTCACCGACACTGAAGACGAGCAGCTGAGAGCGCTACGGGATCTCATCACGCAGGAAATACGTGAAAGAGATGATCTATTCACTTTGGGCAAGTTGATGATTGAAATGGGAGAATTCGATCGAGCAAAAACGTTTTATGAATTATTCCTCAAGGAGACATCCGCAGGAAAAAATCCAAATTCTGCAGCTCCTACTTATAAAATCCGCAGAAAGTCTTACAGGGAGAAACGTAACTATAGAAAAGCATGGAAATATTACGCAAAGGCACTGAAGATCAAACATGACAGAGAAGAAAAAGTTTCAAAAATATTAACCAACATTGGTGTAGTTGAACTAGCTCAAGGTGATTATCCTGCGGCGTTAAAAACATACGAAAGAGTACTTGAAATTTTCTTGCGCTGGCGTTCACCAAATCATAGTGATATGACAAAGGCATACACCAACATTGGTTTGATTCATCAAGCTCAAGGTGATTATTCTGAAGCGTTAAAAATGTACAACAAGGCACACGAAATTTATTTGAGCTCAGTTTCAAGAAACGATTCAGATTTGGCAATGATATACAGCAACACTGGTTTAGTTCTCCAAGCTCAAGGAGATCATTCCGAGGCATTAAAAATGTTCCAAAAAACACTTGAAATTGATTTGAGTTATCGTCCACTAAATCATCCTGAGTTGGCCAGGACATATAACAACATTGGTTTGGTTCATCAAGATCAAGGTGATTATTCTGAAGCATTAAAAATGCACGAAAAGGCATATGAGATTTATTCCAATTCACTTCCACCGAAACATCCTGATTTGGTCACAACGTACAACAACATTGCTGAGGTTCACAAAGCTACAGGTAACTATTCCAAGGCATTCAAAATGTTCGAAAAGATACTTGAAATTTCAAAAGCTTCTCATCCATCAAATCATCCTGATTTAGCCATGGCATACAACAAGTTTGGGGAGATTAACCAAGCTCAAGGTGATTTCTCCGAGGCATTACAGATGTATAACAAGGCGTGTGAAATTTATTCGAGTGCACTTCTACATAATCATCCTCATTTAGCCATAGTATACAACAACATTGGTCTGCTTCACAATGATCGAGGTGACTGTTTCGAAGCATTAAAAATGTTCGAAAAGACGCTTGAAATTTTAAAAGCTTCTCTTCCATCAAATCATCCTCATTTAGGCATGCTATACAACAACTTTGGTGAGGTGCACCAAGCTCAAGGTGATCTCTCCGAGGCATTACAGATGTACAACAAGGCATTTGAAATTTATTCTGGTTCACTTCCATCAAATCATCATGATTTGGCCATGATATACAACAACTTTGGTAAGCTTCACAAAACTCAAGGTGATCTCTCCGAGGCAACAAAGATGTACGACAAGGCATTTGAAATTTATTCGAGTTCACTTCCACCAAATCATCGGGATTTGGCCATGATATACAACAACTTTGGCGAGGTTTGCCAAGTTCAAGGGGATTATTCGGCAGCATTAAAGAAGTTCGAAAAGGCGCAAGAAATTTATTTGAGTACTCTCTCAGCAAATCATCCTGCTTTGGCCCCAATATATAACAACATTGGTCTGGTTCACCAAGCTCAAGGTGATTTTTCAGCAGCATTAAAAATGTTCGAAAAGGCGCATGAAATTTATTCGAGCACTAGTTCAGCAAATCATCCTCATTTAATCACTGCATACAACAACATTGAGAGGGCATTAGCAGATCAGAACAGAGTTTCGGAAGCCAGAGATGGGCGGTCTAGGTCGAGACCTGGCTTCCGGTTCCGATGGCTTTCCTGCACTATACTACAGAGCTGTTATCGATGCCATTAAAATCTCCAATATGATCAACGTCATAGAACAGACTTAACGAAGAGTTAGAGACAAAATAGTCCCCCCCACCAATAAAAGAATGAAACCTCTCAATTATTTTACTGAGACTCGAGAGAAGAAAATTAAAAATTTTACTAATCTGTTTATTCTGTAAATGTCATGTTATCTTGAAAGAAAAAACATGATTTATTAAACTGGAATGCTCATCGTCACACGGTGCACAGGTGTAAGGAGTTTTTATATGTAAGTTAAAGTAGAAACGAAAGAATAAGAACTCAAGGTGATATACATTATTGTTGTTAGGATTACACATAAGCGAAGCGTGCAACAATACAGGGTGTAACAAAAACATTACCGCCCCCTCTACAACTTACAGTATAAATGATGCCACAGAGTGTTATATACCAAATTAATTCTCATGAAAATCTGAATTCAGGAGTGTAATTAATAGGCCGTACAGCAACTATTGGATATGCAATTATTTTAATGTTTTGAGTGATACTCCAAAATGCGCTCGTATTTTACGATTTTCATTCTTCCTGTACATATTTTCATTAAAATAATAGCCGATTCGTAATCTACATCAAAAACTGAGTCTGTTGACATGTCATTTGTATCTGTTTGACGAAAAACGTTTTTTTGAAAAGAATGCTGGGAGATACCCAGACAAAAATTTCAAAAACGTTTCTGAACTGAAATATCTCGATTTATATATCAGTCGACGCAGTTTTTGACGGAGATCACGAATTTAATATTATTTTTGCTGAAAAATGTAACTAAAAAAGCAAAAGTTGCAATGTACGAGCCATTTTGCGCATAAAAGTGCCATAGATATTTTTAGTTGTGTGATTATCTTTAAATGTGATTTATCTTTCCTTCTACAATCTTATAAATCTCTCAAATATATGGTATTATGTGTTCGAGAGGTAGATGTTTTGTATGTTCAAATATCCACGTGTATGACTTATGTTTGGTTATTTTTGTTATAGATTGTTGCAGGTGTAGTTGCCTTTTATAATTTTTCTGATGAGGAGTTGTTTGAAGTAACTTTGGATGGAGTAAGTGACTTTACTGTGGAGTCTAAAGTCGTATCTTAGGTACCCGTTAAGTTTAGGACTGTCAGAAACGAATAAAAACATAGGTTATCGACTATCGTGGCAATGTTGATTTTCAGAACAAAATGCAATAACCGAGTGAAAACCTATACTAGGTGAAATAACCCATTTTTGATTATTTTCATAAAAAATTAAAAAATGCGGGGGTGGAGGTAGGCTGTGAGTATCTATAGAATAAGTGAAGTGGGTAGGGCGACTCAACAGTTCTAAATTTTTCGTAGTAATTCTCAGAATTCGCATAATTGTCATAATTCTCGAAATTCGAAAAAGCGAACAAATGACGATACAAATTGTAACGGAATTATGACACGTCTCTCGAATATATGTGAGTTTGATACAAGTATATGCAGTGCTATTGGTCCAAAATATAAGAGTTTCTTTTTGTTATTTGAATAGCATTTGATATGCGAATAGATACGAACGGAGAACAAAGTTATAACGCAGATTTCTGATTTTTTCCCGATGGCTCTTGAAGACCCGGTGTCAGTCACCGGCAAGTCATATATAACAGTCAGCATTGTAAACTGAACGGGTGCATGAAGCAGCCGTTTTAACTATCAACTGTACGGTTGTAAAAATTAAGGGCTGAAAGACAGAGTATGTACAGCTTGGAAGATCGAAAATGTATCCATCTTCGATCTTTCGATCTTTACATCTTTCGATCTTTACATCTTTCGATCTTTACATCTTTCGATCTTTACATCTTTCGATCTTTACATCTTTCGATCTTTACATCTTTCGATCTTTACATCTTTCGATCTTTACATCTTTCGATCTTTACATCTTTCGATCTTTACATCTTTCGATCTTTACATCTTTCGATCTTTACATCTTTCGATCTTTACATCTTTCGATCTTTACATCTTTCGATCTTTACATCNCATCTTTCGATCTTTCAGCTTTCAATCTCTGCATCTTCAGTCTTTCGATGTTTACATCCTCCTAAACAACTTCGGTAGGAAATTAAAAGCTCAGGGGAAGGTCTTAAAAAGTGAGAGAATACCAGAGAAGGAGGGAGAAATTTAGAAAGAAGAGAAGACAATAGAAAAAAACTGGAAAAGAAAAGAGAGAGATTTATATATTTAGTAGAATTATCGACTTTATACAAAAACTGGATATTTTGCCACCCCTCGTAAGTTGTAGAGGGGGGCGTAATGTTTCTGTTACACCCTGTATATAGATTGATGTACTTTAAGTAGATAAATTCTACGAGTCTATGCTCGAAACATTGTTCTTACTAATAAGGATTTTGTCCTCTAATAAAGAGTAATTAATGATAAGAGTAATGGGAATTAAGCGACTTCTTAATCTTTCATGGTTTAGGCGCGACATCGGATTTCTCCGGAGCCCCAGGATTGATATTTCTTTACCTATGGTAATCACGAAAATAAATGGAAACATAGATAATCGATGATGCTGAATCTCGAGGCAACGTTTGTTCTTCGAACAAAATGCCGAAACCTAGTGAAAACCTATATTAGGTGAAATAACCCATTTTGCCGATTTTTGAGTAAAATTAAAAAATTCATAACCCAGTCAACATCCATTCAAATTATGTCAGAGTATCAAGATGTGCTCTATTTTACCTGCTTAATACGAACTTTTACTTGAGAATAGTAAAAAGCATTCTTGTACTTCGGAAGATTTGTAGAAAATCTTTCCAAAACCCAAAGTAATAGTATCAGTATCAAAGTAATAGTATCTGGGGCGACTATGCAAGATTCTTGCAGAAACTTATCGCAACTATGCACGATTCTTGTACAAACTTATCGCGACTATGCACGATTCTTGTATAGCCGATCTGCATAATAGGATTTGTAATAATAGGACTGATCGCGACTCTTGCTAGCTCGTGTCGCGATTTTAAAAACAAGGCAAGACTCGCACCGAGCAATTTTCTTATATAACTAACAAGATCTTGTCGCGAGAACCACTATAGCAAGACTTTATAGCGATCGCTAAATCGCTCTTATTTCGCGAGTCCTATAGCGATCGCGCCGCGACTTTTTAGCGCGAGTCCTGCCGCAACTTTCGCACGAAAATCGACCTGGGTCTGCTTCGTAACTTTAGTGAGCAATAAAATAATAAATTATATAATGCGCGCTTTACTGAGCTGTCAACCACTGTTATCAACTGCATCATTGCGAGAGAATGTATTCAAGTGATGAATCGGTTTTTCTCGAGCATTGTTTAGGGTTGATCAACAAAATGCACAATACATCATCGACCAACTGCAATGTGGCGTCCGGCGATGTATGATTGGCGATTCTCAATTTCTAGAACGGTTATCTCATTCTCGCACATGATAACTGGATTTTGTCGTTAGAATGACGATCTCTCTGAAGTTCAGAGAGATCGTCATTCTAACGACAAAATCCGGTTATAAAAAACTGGGCGGTTTAGACGCTTTTATCAGTAAATCAAAATATTTTTAATAAAAAAGTCATTTTCACTAGCTGTTTCATATTTCTGTTACTTGTTTATTTGAAGTTATCACTTTTCTGCACTGTCCGGAGATATCATGAGATATCATTTTTCCAAATATCATGATTTGCTTTTTCATTTTCGACCAAGAAGTAAGATGTTAAATTAATTCTTTTTTGAATTTCAATATTAGTCAGAGAATCAGGGTCGATCATTGTTAGAATAAAAGTTTGCTTTTTGATATGAGTAAATTCTCTTCTTTTATTTTATTTGATATTTAAGACAAATGACTTAACATACAATAACCTATAATTAAAATAAGAACAAA